TTGAAGGTGGTGAGGGGTGGTTGTTACTTGCCAGGGGGTGAAATTCTTCTCTTTTCCTACTGAATCTGCAGTTGGTGGCTAATGCATCCCTGTCCTTGATCCCTTACCCCAAATCTGCCTCAGCAAACAAGCACAAACCATGGATTGAAGCCGAGTATCAGGGCATCGTCATGGAGAATGACAACACCGTCCTGCTCAACCCGCCGCTGTTTGCGTTGGACAAAGATGCCCCACTGCGCTATGCAGGTAGGTGGGGAACAGCTCTGGCTAGGGTGGAAGGCAGGGACAGGCTTACGGAGAGGCAGGGACACAGTGACATTCATCCCTGGGCTGGATCCTACCTCTCTTCAGGAAACAATCACCTCCAAACCTTGTTCCGGAGGAGGTCCCTAGTGAAGTCTGGAGGCAATTTGGGCACAGCTTGATTTAGGATGCTGTGAGCTGTTTCCTTAGGGAGGGGAACTGAGGGTGGAGCCAGCTACTTTTTGACGCAGTTCTGCTATTTCCAAAGATCACATGCACAGCACTGTGTCTGTGAGCCCTGGAGAAAGCTGGTAGGGCATGCTTCCTTGGCAGTGCTACATCCCCTCACAGTGAGCACAAATTCTCGGAACAGGCGAGACTTCCAGTGGTTGTATTCCTAGTGCTTGTTTAGGCCATGCCTGGAGTTTCCTCACGCATTCTTCCTCAGCTTTGGGAGAGTAAATATGGTCCCTGTGAGCTAAATTTTAGGGTTTAGGTGACCCTATCTGCAGTTCCCTGCGGTACTCAGCGCATCCTGCATGTGTGGGTGGATGAGACATCATGGATCTTCATGCTCTGGCTATCTGCAGTATATGGCCTGTTTTGCTTCCCTGAGGGATGCGGAGGAGAAATAAGATGCTGCCCCAGGACTGTGGCTGCGTAGCACTAATAAATGTAGCTTGAGCCTTGTAACCTTCAGTCTTTCGTGATGCTGGTCAGGGCTCTTTGCCGTGGGAGTATTCTCCAGTAGAGGGCAATCTGCACCATTAATGGCTGTAAGGGATAGCAGGAGGAACTCCTAGGGAACCAAAAACTGCTTGAAATGAACGACGATAATGGGGGAGAATAGACGTGTAAGTTAGAAAAGAAGAAAATATAGGAAAGGAAAGCAAAGGGTGTAATGTGCTCTACTCAGTCCTTTTCTTTCTCCTCTTCCTCTCTGTTTTCGTGTGTACCAGGTGAAATCTGTGGCTTCAGGATCCATGGGTCAGGGGTACCTTTTGAAGCTGTGATCCTGGACAAAGCTACAGGAGAGGGGCTCATCCGGGCCAAGGAACCAGTGGACTGTGAAGCGCATAAGGAGCACACATTTACCATCCAGGCCTATGACTGTGGAGAGGGACCTGATGGAGCAAATACCAAAAAATCACACAAGTAAGTTCAAGCAGACATTGCTGCATGCTACAAAATGTGATCTGTGACAAAAATGCAAAGGAAGGTTGCCGTGGAAGCACTTCCTTTAGCCAGAGGT